AGATAATAAATAATCCATGTCTATACTGCTATGTTATTATTATGTATGTAATCTATGCGCTCCAAATTTTGAATATTTTTTTATTATAACAACAATTTATAGTTAAAAACATTGAATATGATGATGGTAATCGTAATAATATTTATTATATAAACATTCTGCGAAATTTTAGACGAAATTGAAATATTGCTAATGTCTGTATTGTTTGGAACTGTTTGTGGTTTATCTGTTACAGTTGACTGCGAGAGTGTACCTTCCTGAAGTGTATACCTAAAAATTTATTATTGAAAAAAAAAAACCTCCGTTGAAAAAACATTCATAAGATTGCAAATTATTTAAAAAAAGAGAAGAAGGAGATATTTACCCCAACGTTTCCAATAGCAATTTTATATTTGGACCTATTGGACCTCCTTGATATCCACCGTTAAATTGGCTCAATGATTCTACAGTGGCACCACGAATTGCTCTCCATAACATAATCAAATCTGCAGTTTTATTAAAACTTATGGCACTTAAATGTCCTAACGTTGAACCAGGAGTATAAGGTATCGCAGTTTCTAACATAATTTGTGTATTAGTGTGTGATAAAAATGCTACGTCTTGAGGTGTGGTTGCGGCCGTAAATATATCTTTGGTTATCTGGTATTGGCTTGAATTTGTCCATTCAGTTACAAATTCTAGATAGCTAGGATAAGTTTTATTGATCCCGGAAAACTTATTGAGCTCCACAGTGAGGTTGCTCATGCTTGTAACATTCGTTGGTGAACCTTGTTGTAGCAGTATCATGTTTTTATCAAATACTGTTTCAACGAATCCAAGCAGTTTGAATGATTGAGTGTTATTTATGACAACTGGGATTGGCGATAAAGCAGACAGACTAAAATGATCTCTCCATGTATGAACAAGTCCTAAACCGTGAATAATTTCATGCATTACCACCAATACAAAGTCTACTTGAGTTGCTCCGATTGGTGGATCTCCTTCAAACCAAAAATTTGCTCTTGTACTAAATTTATTTATTCATTCAAAATATATATGCGTATGTATGCACATGTGTATGTGTGTATGCGAATGAGTGAGAGAGAGAGAGAGAGAGAGAGAGAGTGTGTGTGTGTGTGTGTGTGTGTGTGTGAAGTGAGAAAATAAAAAAATCATTACCTAAATCCTGCAATAATATCAACACTTAAAAACTCAGGTGCCTCAGGTAAGTTTAATTGTTTTACAAGTGCTTGAGGATAAAGACGAGTAATATTATCAGTATCATTTAATGGAATAAATCTAGAAGGACCGGCACTGCCTTATGTATTAATTATTAAATATTAGGAAGTAATCATAATTATTAATTAAAATTGCTGATTAATTATTATTATTACCTAATGGTCCTACTTCATTTCCGGTACAAGTTGGACATAAGTCACCAAATACAGCTTTTAAAATTATGGGTGCCTTCAATACTAAAAATGTCGGAAAAATTTTTACTGCTCTATCAAATCCTAACTTTGCATTATTACAAATTGTTTCGTTAGAAACTCCGCATGAAAATTGAACTTGAATTGTATTTGCAGTATCGTTTACTAAATAATTATTAGTTAGATCATTATTCTTGACAATTTTACAATCGGATTGTGTTCTAACCATTGGATGTAAAAAATCAGGCATGTCATAACATGTTTCGGACAATATTAAATTACTAAAATTGATTATGACGACGATCAAAATTAAAAGAGCGTTCATTTTTCGCTATTTTAATATAACAATAGTTTTATACTTTTTTTTTTTTTTAAAAAAAAAAAGAAAAAAAAAGGTGAAAAAGAAGAGCAAAAATAATTAGGCGAGTATTTATTTTATTTATTTATTTATTTATTTATTTCGATAATTAAATTACTTGAATGATTTTTTGATTTTAGAAAAAAAATCTATAATTACATAATTAGTTACATCAAAGTTTATTTCACAACAAATTAACCAACTTGCTTATTATTACACAATGTATCAATTTAGATTCTTTTTTTTTTTCTTTTTCAGCCAATCCAAGGATCTACAACAAGGGTTAACCTCTTACTATTTGAGACGTCGATCCTAAGGTTAAACCTCTTACCGGTAAACCATAACCCAATCTACTAATTAAAATTGGGTTTACACATAACCACCAAACTACCCAGACACCCTCTGTTAAAAAGGTTGAACCTCATGTTTTGAGAATGTAGATCCTTGGATTGGTTTTGATAATCCAAATTACTGATTTGAGTACCACCCCTTGCACATTAGGATTATAGCAGTCAATTTTGCAGAGAGATTGGGGGGGGGGGCATTCAGATATTTATTTTCTGGCAATGATTTGATGAAATTGTCGTTGGTTGCTTAATAAATTATTTATTATTAAAACTTACAATCTCCTTATTTTAAAGTATTTTTGTCGGCTATAAATAATCAAATTTTTTTTAATGCCTTTAAAATCTGTTTCATTGAAACTTTTCTTCAAAGAAATAAATACAAAACAATCAAATCTAGCCACACCGAATGTATAAATTAATTAATTAATATTTTTCAAAAACATGCTGATTATGGGTTTAAAGTTTTCTTTTGTTAACAACTTCTTCTGCTTCTAGATTATATATGAAGTGAAGTTGTTAAATTGGATCATCGAAAATAATTTTAATGATAATACAAATTAGGATTCAAAAAATTTTTTTTTTGTTAATAAAATTCATGATTTCTATGTCACTTGCTGGTTGAGCAACTAATCGTCTAGGTAAATATTTACTGCCACCCATACTTGCCCATAAATCAATTATTCTATGATAATATTTTCAGTTTCCAAACCTTTACAATAACAAATAGAGAATTAAAAAATAAAGAAATAAATAACCTAACAAATTATGACAAATTCAAACTGCATACATTTTGTATATTCTGAGGTCTGTTAATTGTATAAAATAATCTGTAAGTTTTAATTGAATCTTTTAAGAATTCTTTTCCAAAATCTAAAGAAAACCAAGTATAATTAATGAGATAAAAATTAATCTGTAAGGCACTCTCGCATCTTTATATATAGATGCCAAACTCTGCAGAGCGGTTGTCCACTTGGTTTTAGTATCATCATATTTTCAATTATTTCGATTTTTGACTAATTTCACACTTTTTTGTGCGCTTCGTAATATCAGTTGTTGAAGGATTTATACAATGTGTATACTTGGCACCGTAATTCAGTAATAATTACGGGATCACTGTTCTAAAAATTAATTATTATTACTAAATAATACTACAGCAAGAAAGTTTGAAAACTGTAATTCCGTAAAGATGATTGGTTTCGTAAGTAATTGTTTATTATTATTACAAAGAATTTGTGCATCGAGAATCAAATGTGCCTGATTGTTAATACAAAATTTTGCAGTTTAAATAGAAGTAATTTCAATTAATGGCTTATAATAATAAAGGTAAAAAATTATGGCTTAACATTCAGAAAGCCAATGTTTATCTAGTCGCAAGAAACTTTTATTTTATTACTATTATTGTTATTATTATTATTATTATTATTATTATTATTTACAGTTTCCCCATTTGTATGATGTGTGATGTAATTATATTTTTCATCATACTGCTTAGACAGCTACCAAAATTATCAAATACAACTGCTGAAAGATTCTATCAGACTCGTTTTAAATGATGTATATGTCCTATAAATTAATATAATGTGGTTCTATAATATTCTGGCATAATAGAGATCCACTGGTTAAACCGGTTAAACTCTAATACTGTTTTTTTTTTCAACAAATTAAATGAAAACATTTCCAAGAATTCTACTATTTGTAAGCATTATTATTCTAACATGGACGGACACACAGATTTTTGACAAATAAACAAAAAAGTGATTCGGATGCAATTTAGAATGATAAATTAATATCAACATATTCAAGTATATTTGGCTTTGTTAACAGTACAACAAAGAATCCACCGAGTGATTGGTTACATCTTTGTATTTTGAATCATCAATTTTATTAGTGTCAAATGATTTGCTATTAAGTGCCATCTAATTTCCACCCTCTTTAGTATTAAAGCTTGGATCATAAAGCTTTGTTGATATTAAATTGAATTAAATTATTATATACAAACAAACCACCAGAAGTAATATAATAGTTTAGAGTCCCAGTCGATTAGATAATTTACTTCTCAGTAAACTGAGAGTTTTTGCAAGAGCACAGTTTATTTATTATAAGAATTTAAGTCCTTAAATACACAAATGCTTTTGAAATGCTAATTAATTATTTGCAAATGGTTTGTTATTCTACAAAGACATTCTACTTGGCATAGTAGAAATTATTCAAGGACTTTTTTGCCTTAAAAAAATCCTACTTTATGAAACATAAATTCTTCCTTCTTATAATAAAGTATGACTGGTTAAATATACTAATGTTCAAGGATTTGATAGGCCAAGGGTTTCTAGGTCAGTCAGCCATAAAATAATAGGATATCCGAATTGCTATTATTTGAACAAATAGGATATCCACTCTAAGTGTTTTAGGACGATTAAGTTCTAGATAGTCAACCATCTCGTGACTTAATTCCATCAGTTTTAAAATATTGTCAATCAAACATTGGATTTTTTTTTTTTTAACATATCAGGAAAACCTGCCAGACTAAAAAGGTAACGAATATGTATATGAATAAATGAATAAATGAACGGATGAATGAATAATAATAAAGAACAAAGCATTTGGAGAATAAAGTTATTTAATTGCTGATAGAAATTTAGAATAAAAAAACCATTGTGACCCAAAATGAAGTGGTGGATTACAAATTTAAAACTTTATAAATTTATTCTTTATAAAAAAATGAAAAATAAAAAAAAAATCTTACAATTGTATATTAATTGATCATTGAATAATTGATTATTCGCAAAAGAGATACTATAAATGTTTAAATATCACATTGATTAAATGGTCCAGATTTAATTTTGAAAAATAAATTTATTGATTATATAACAAAATGTGCGCATTTTTATGTAATACAAACCTGCACTAAATTGGTTCCACGTGATGTGTTGTTGAAAAGTGCTATATATATCACGTGGAATGGTCATAATGAAAATTATTATCTTTGGGAATGTCATTTTAACAGGAGTACCTTGTATTCCAATGACAATACTCACTTACATATTTTTTAAGGAGAATGCATGAATGTCCGAATATGGTACATGATCTTATCTAATCTACGCCTTTGGGTCTGATTGCCCAATTGATAAACTATTTCTCTCTGTATATAACGAACTGTATCACAATAATAATTTTATTTTTTATTATTGAAAGACAAAAATTATCTCAAACGAGTAAGACTAATAAATAAGAAGAAGCTTTGTCTGTTCCAAATAAAGAGGTTTTATTGGCGATAGAAAAATTATATTTTGTATATTAAAACAGCAATCCTGATGATTTACAATAATGTAGGAATTATTAATATTAATAAAAAAGGAAAATCAATTCAGACAACTTTTTTAAGTTATTCATTATTATATAAAAAAAACCATTTTCTATTTTCATTTATCATTTTTTTAATATTCCATTTATTATACTTTTATGTTTATTCAAATTTTATTGATTACAATTTAATTTTCTATATAAAATTTTGTCCGTGTGATGACCGGCAAAATGATGATGATCTAACGTTATAACGGTCATTTTCTGCTGGAACAGGAGGTTCGTTATAGAGAGCGAGTAAACTGTATATTGAAAGTGAAAAAATAAAATGAAAATTTATTTTTAAAATTATTTCTGAAAAAAAAATAAAAGTGAAAAATTTGATTAGTTTACGATTTTATTTTATTTTTTATTTTTGGAATAATCTTGTTATTTCTTCGTTATTTTCATTAAACCATTTTTCTGATTCAGCATTAAAATTTGGAGCTAAATCTTGGGATAAATCTCCAAGAGGATCGTAATTATTAATAATTGGTGTTGGTGTTGCTACATTTATTGCAGCGTTTGTACTTGAAATAAGTGCTGCAGCTTTCAAATATTGTTCGTTCGTAAATGAAGGAATATTAATATTAAATAGTCCAGTCGGTGCTGGCAAACCGTGCACTAACGAATTACAGTATTGTTCTAGATCTTGTGAATTATCTCTTCCACCATAGCTATTAATAGCAAGATTAATAGGATCAAAATCAGTGTTCGTAACGGTGGTAATCGTAGAATTAATAGATATATCAGTAATCAATGATGCATTTGGATCAAAATCATAATTGCTAAAGTTTCCAGGTTGAGTTTGGGGAGAAAAAAAATCAGAGTTGAATTGATCGAAGTTGCTAAAATCATTTAGCGGATTCTGAACGTCATTTCCAAAGGCAAGGTTATTATTGTTATTGTTATCACAAGTATATGGAAATGCCAAGTCGTGAATATTGGAAATTGATGAATCTCCATCAGAATCAGCACTGCCTTTATTAAGTTGTTTAGTTAATTCTTTCCGTCTTCTTCTAGCTTGTCTAGGTTTTTTCTCGGCTCCATTATTTCCATTTTTCTTTTTCCATTTTCCCTGACCATTAAGTAAACCCAGGGGACGGCCACGTACAATAGTTGGTGGAATACGTTTGCAAGCAAAACCTTTTTCTTCGCAATTCTTGCATGAAGGTTCATGATCATCACACTTTATGTGTCTTTTTT